AAATGAAATATTTCATTATAGAACAGTAGTGCATACATTATACTCCTGAAAAGCCAGCTTGTATTTTAAACGACTAATGCTTGAAAGATTTGATCTCTGAAGGCCAAAACTGCAGTCACACAACCCTAAAATGTTGTTAGGTTTTTTTGTTTTTTTTTTTACAATTTTATATATAAAGTGTACTGGACTTCACTTATGTGTTTTTACAAAGTCACACTGGTGAGGGGCAAGATTAAAATTTTTTTTTCCCCTCAAACGAAATACAGCTGGCTTCCTTTGTACAACTTTGGCCAGGAGAGTTCCATGTAGTGAAGGTTTCAGAAATCCTCTTCCTATATGCAAGAATCAGCCAGTTAATGCTTAGAGGTAATCTACCACAGTAGGCACGCATCCTTTGACTTCCGTATCAACCAAATCACTCTTACCTTGCAAATGGTTCTGAAATTAGAAAGTTTACTAGTATACTAAAACATTTAGATACATGAATAGCTGGCTAAAACAGTGAAAGTCACGGGTAATAATATGGGTGTGTGTAAAGCTGAGTTGTTTTGCCCATCACCAGTGTACAGCACGGCTGTCCGCATCTGTGAAAGGTGTGCTCTGACTAAGCATAGGGCGAGAAAGGGAGCGCAGGAGACCCGGCCCATTCACCTTCCACATAAGTGAGACAAGATTGAACTGCGCGTTCGCGTTCTCTTCTAGGCGTAGGTTCCGCCAGTGATGAGAAGTTCGTAGGCAGGATCCCGACTCCTCCTACATAGTACTATACAGGCACACAACATGCCCAGAAGCTACGAAGAAAAAAAGAAAACAAGCTGAGTACAAAGAAGGTACTTCAAGAAATTTTAATCTCAGCACAGAAATTGTCAGCATGCTTCCCAAGACTGTGATGGACCATAAGGTAAATGGCAACAAACGCACTGTTATTGAAAAAGCTTCGTTTTCTGCTGCAAAAAGCAAGGGCCACAAACTCCAGCCTTATTTTCTAGCAAGATTGTCTTGGATATATCTTTAACCTAAGTTTTTTGGTCAGCCATTTGTAGTCCGCCTGGGCAATTCAGACGGAAGAAATTGCTAATTTTATAAAAGGTACAGACTTAGATACTGTGTGAAGTAGGAAAAAAATGGAAGTGCAATTCAAATGCATTATCCTCTAACTGATTTGACAAAAAAGAGCAAAACTTTAAGAGTCTTACAAACCTACTTCACTGTTGAAATCTCTTTCAAGTGCTCAATCACTGTCAACATGCCATATTAGAAAGCTTAAGTCCAACGTGAATTATTCACTTTAGGACATTTTCCTGCCATGACTGTGCTGACAAGTCTGCCAAGAATTTAAGGTTTGATCACTTTGTATGCTTTTACAAGACTCAAAGCAGATGACTGTCATCAAGGATGTAGGGCATGAGATTTTTCAGAATTTGCATGTTTACTGAAGGCAGAGTAAGACTGTACCTACTTCAAAAAAATCGAGGATAGTGCTGTGTTCTATGGTCTACAGTAATTGGGAACAGCTTCTAGTACAATAAGAGATTTTTTTAATTTGGTCATATGCACAGAAGTTTATTTACAGATGCAAATATTTCATGAGGCTCCTGTCATAGCTCTGGATTATAAAGCATCACCGAGAAGGTAAATAAGTTTTTAAACAAACAAACAACAATAAAACCTCAACCCTCCAAAAAAAACCTCGTCCCTGAACAGAAAACAAATAAAAATGTAATGAGTGAGCAGACAACCAAGTGTAAATCTTCTTCATTAACACAGCAAAAGCCCAGTAAAAACACAGCACTGGGACCAAAGGAGGAGAGCTGAATTACTTTTTAAAACATAACATATGCAGTAAGGTGTAAAACTAAATGATGGAACGTGCAACATAGTACTCAAGCCTGTTGAAAGACTGAAGAGAGAATGTTTTAAAAATCTTGAGATTAATAAACAGCGATTAAAAAGAGGCATGAAGAAATTCCAGTCTGAGCTTTTGATTTCCTGGAAAGGACAAGTGGTAAAGAATAATAATGTCCTTTATGTAGAGTGCATCATCTGCTTGGGTCTGCACAACAAACTAGCTCAGGTTCCAAAAAAGCACACGGAGAGTAACTGAGAAGATGGCACTTCAGCCTGTTGGTAAGAACAGTGCCTTTCTTCATTTGCCATCACTGTTTGAGTGGTTTCAGTTCAGAGACTAACTCGCAAAAACATGTAACATTCATGTCAGAGTACAAGAAAAACAGAATTATGAGAATGATTCTTAGAAGAACTCTGTCTTTGAAGTGAGAAGATAATATTCACAATTCAAAAAACCTAAAATGTAGGTGAGATGGAGAGTTTATGGTAGCTGCCAGTGGCTACAGAACTGTGAAAAAGGCTCACAGCCTGCAAGGATAGAAATACCATTTTTCTCCCCTGTTCAAAACAAGGATAAAATCAAGTGTGTGTTGCAGAAAAACACCTCCTTTATTCATTTGCTATAATTCATTCTAGCCATGTATTTCAAATCAATAAAAATAGTTGCATCACATTCACAGTTATTCATACAAAGATAGTCCTGGTCAATGGCCAAGACAGTCAGTTTACACAGTTGTATAACATCAGAAACTACCAGGTAGTGTAGTACGAACTCATGTAATCAACTTCTGAGTTACTAAAACCATTTATATCCTTTAGGAGGCCCGTAAGCATATTCCTAGAATTCACTTGAGAACCAGAACTAATCCCTGCATTTCAACTTTCTCTACAGAAATTTAGTATGTAATTTTTTAAAATATGCTAGCACCTCTAAAATTTTCCAAAGGCATTTGATTCTCTTTCTTTTCATTGCTACTTAACATTGTGAAGACACACATTTCAGAAGCCTATGTTGAGGAATGGTCCACACATCCCCTCCCCTTCCTCAGCTTTCAGAAAAGTTTAGACACATCTGCCACAGTCACAAGGTTTGGTTTGGGTTTTACACTTGGTTTTGGTTCTTTTTGTTGCTGTTATTTTTTGTGTGTGTGAGTGTTTTGTGGTTTTTTGGTTTCCGTCTGCTAGCTCAGTACTTTGTAAACGATCACAGACTGCAAAAGCTCTCTAAGAGTTAACTCTGCAGCCAGTCAAGCAGCATTTTCCCTGCAACGCCTTTGCTCCCTTCAGTTTGCCTCCTATTTATTAATAGTTCTGTGCTGTCACTGTGGTTGAGACCAGGGAATTATTGCACACTGAAAGATCCCCATGGTAACTGAAACATGAAGATACCAAAAATTACTTCTATGCAGAAAAGACTAAGCTTTTCACAAATCCCAAATCTTGCAAAATCCTTCTGTTCTCACTCTTTTCATTTTAAAGAAAGTAGCGAAGGCTACATTTGCTGAATGTAAGCTGGTAGAGGTAATGAACTTTGGAGAGCCTTACTGCCTAACATAGGGAATAGAGTGGACTCTGCACAGTCAGTACAGGAAAGGTAGTAAAATTCATTAAAAGGTAAAAAAATCCACAATTACTCCTCTGAGTTTACAGGACATGACCGAGGTTAGAAGTCATTTGCTGAAGTTTACATTCTTACCTCCATTTCTGTTTTACCAGTAAGAGGATGTCACAACTTAAGTTGAAGGAGATAAATAATAGAACAGTTTGAATATTTATAGTATCAACTTCAGTGAAACTACTGTCTTTTTGGAACATGTGAATTTACAAATATTTGAACTGTGGAGTAAAGATGCAAGAATGTGACCTCTGCTAAAACTTAGATATGATTACCATTCAGTGAATGTTACTAAATAGAAATTTTAGGGGTATTTCCCACACCTGTATCTTATATTTCTCTTTATTCTATTCATTTTCTAAACAAGCATCATGTGACTTGTTTTAACTTTAAGCAAAAAGATTTCAAAATGCTATACCGCCGCATCAGCAAAGAAATGTCTCTGATGTTCTTTTCTTCACAAACTGTTTATACAAGATGTGCCTTCCGACAACAGCATAATTACTGACATGCTGAGAGAAAGGAAAGAGCACCCGCTGCAGAAGGGACCCAACCAACACGCTTGCCTGGCGCTGATAAGCCAGGAATAACAGACGGATGCAAGCAGCCACAGAAGCACTGCGAGCACACGTCAAATTCTGGCCCAGTCCCAGAGAGGATTTTAACTGCTGCATTTCGGGACAGACTCGTTAACCTGCAACTCCAGGAATCATAGTCGTGGTAAATACTTTCATTTACATTACATAAATACATTTCAGTGGTCAAGCAGACTTAATACTTGCTTTAACACTTCAGGTTTTAAGAATGGCAAGTAAAAACATACCTTCCTTCAGAAGAGCACAGATCTCACCTAATTTAAAGTTCCAAAGCTGAATGAAACTGCTTCTGACATAATCGGGTTTGGGACAGTTCAACAATACTATTCTACAGTGTTACTTCTGAGTATATCCTTGGAGCATTGGAACATAAATGTAACCATTTTTCAAAAGACTGTTTGTAAAAGATTATTTACCTTCAAACATACAATCCAGCTGAAAAGCTGCTTTTGGACACAAAAGTGCCTGAACTGCTTGACTCAACAGATAAAATGTTTTCTGAATTCAGATGTATTAAGAGCAAAAAAGGAACTTTGAAATTAGTTTTCAAGTCTGTTGCTATTCAGCACATGTACTACACTTCTCAGAGGACATAACTTGGCACAGCCTGAAAATAATGTGATTAATGTATTAAGTCTGCCAAATTGATGAGTATACAAATTTCTAATTCTACAAATATGTTTAAAACATAGACCTAGACTTTTTTTTTAAAAAAAAAACAACCAAACAACTAAATAAATACTGAGATACATATCAGCCTATTTTCTCAGTTACTTTTTATGACCAGGGTAACTGTAACAACTAAGGTTCATGCCAGAGACAGCTTGGGCTCAATTTTAAGTAAGCAAGGTCTCCAGTTAAGAACTTTTCTTTCCTTGAATTCAGAAACTAAGAAATCCTCAAGCAGTGATGCAAAACTCAGTTGAAGAAGAGCAGAGCATGCTATCAAAAACCGTGGTGCATCTCCTGGGCGCTCCTGATGTGACCGTATACCATGTAGCACAGTGAGGCTCTAAAATAGCATGAGGTATGAGACAACTATTTTGAAGTTGAAAATTAAATATAGAACAAAATCTTCAGGGGGTAAATGCCATTAATGCGCATTCATGACACTTAATACTTAGGTAATCAGTTTTCAAGACATAATTTACCACCTACTTTCTAGACTCCTATATGTAACACTGACTGTTAGCCATCTTCAAATCTAGCAGAATATACATCCACATAGCAGCACTTTTTAGATCATGCACCGTGGAGGAGCTCTTTTTTAAAAGTGTTTAGATCCTTTTAACTGATGTGCATTTACCCCCAAACAGGCAGGTCTAAAGCTGTCACACCTGCAACAATCTGGACAGCAGCTTAGAATTGCATTTGAGTAAAAGTTTAAGAGATGATGAATATTTTCTTACCTGAATAGCAGCAAACGCTAGTGCTGCCCAGATGACATACATCATGATTTCTTGAAGCTTCTTTACAACCAGAGCCTCACACCCCTGAAATAAGGAGACTTAATAAGGCAGGTGCATTTAGGTACACCAAAAAAAAAAATCCCAAAGCATCAAACAGGGCAGAAAGATAATTCAAACACTAACAAAAAGTCATTACTTAGTATATCATAGATGAAAAAAAGGGAGTAGGTCAGGGGTTTTTTTGTTATTTTTTGTTAATTTTATTTAGAAGCCATGTTTATTTCTTATTAAAGCAAATGTCCCAAAGACTTCATGCTCCCATTAAAAAGAAAATTAAATGATTGTTAGCAAAAGCACATGTTCATACTTTGCCTGTCTTACCTCAGAATAAAGGTCCATTGGGCGAGTCAAACTGCCAGTACAATTGCTGAGGGCTGCTTTGCAACAGCTAAGCGGCACGCTGTTGTTTTTAGTTTGTTTGAACCAGACAGTATTCTCCCAGTCTGTATAGTTATGGATCCCACAGCAGCGCAGCTGAAAAACACATGCAGGTAAAGAGCCAACGTGTTTATCAGGCAAGAAATCATTTAAGATCCTCCTTAAAAAATACAGACTTGAAATTCCAGTTCTTGGGGAACATCCGAAACCTCACTTTTCCTTCGTGCCTCCCAGACAGGACAACACCTCTATTTTGGGTTTAGAACCG